TTTAAATTAAATAATATTTATTATATTATAAATATATACCTTTAGTAAATTTTTAATTTCCTCAATTTTATTCCATTCATCATTAGATAATAAAAATTCTGTTAATTCCTCATTTGTTGATGCCATACTATGTAATGGCTAATAAAAAGTTTTGTTAAATAAAATAAAAATAAAATAATTATAATTTATAATTTACCTCACGTAGTATTAATGCTCTTTCCATCATATCATAAGTTGAATTCCAATGTGTTTTAATATCTGGAATTAATTGAAGACTTCTAATTTTTGAAGCAATACATTGACGATTAAGTTTTTCACGCCTTTGAGGTAATGCACGAATTTTAACTACTAATTTTCTTAACTAAAAATATAATAATATTATTAATAATTAGTATAAATTAAAATAAAAAATAAAATTTTATACCTTTTCAATTACTCCCATATTTTAATTGTTTTTTATATTTTCTAATACATTTTTTTCCTTTTTTGGTCCAACTTCTTTTAATATTAAAAGAGCTTCTTGAGCAGTTAAATCAATAATATAGGCTAAACATCATACACATTGGTCTTCAAAATTAAAAGTTATATTATCATTTAAAAAATAACTTTCTAAATGAGTGAATGCAGTATTCATATTATATGCATTATCAGATATAATGCTTAATGTCTATAAAAATATTATTTGTTAATTAAAATATACTTACAGTTAACTCTTATTATAACGAACTCTATGTTTTAGACTTCAACTTCACTATAAGGCTATAGTGAAGATTTTAAGAAATTTGATTGGCCAATTCGCTATAATAAGAGTATTTTTATTATATTTATTTAAAAAATTCATTATATCAAGAGTTCACTATATCAAGAGTTGACTGGACTGTATTTTTTATTAATATAAATAAATTAAAAATATACCTTTTGTAATATTTCATATTCTTTTAAGATTTTATAAAATATATATGAAATATTTTCACCAGAATAAGATTCTTCAAAATGATAAAAATTAAGGAGGATTTCTTTAAGTTCCCAATCTTTTGTAATCCAATGTGCTGTAATTCTAAGAAATGAAATTTGATTTTTAAAGTTTAACAATCAAGAATAAATGAAATTTTACCTGGTACTTCTTATAATTATTTTTTAATATTAATTTTTTCTTCATTATATGTATTCACAATATTATTATGCATAGTATCAGCAGAACATATTTTTGCTTCAAAATTAAGTCTTTTTATCATTGTTTGAAAAAATATATTTTCAACAACAACAAAAGATTGATCATCCATAATTATCCATTTAGTTAAATCATTTAACCAATCTTTTTGTGTAAATGTCTATTATAGTTAACTTATTCGACGGAAAGAGTAACGTTAACAACGTTTAATCATAAAAATAATAAAAATAGTCATATCTTCAGTATTATTATTAGAAATAATTTCTGTTTCATTATTTTCTTCCTTATGGTCATTAATAAAATCTGACAGATTATTACTTTTTTTGAACTGATTTTTATTTACCAGTTGTTTTAAGACCAGACGAATTTAACCATGGAATTTTGCTGAGATCCTTTTTTTCCATAGAAGAAAAATTGATTGTATTGTTGACATATACAATATAGTTAACTAAAACTGTAATTTCTTCATCATTTTTGGTCAAGTTTCCCATGATATCAATTTTATTTCCTTTTTGTAATTTGTTTACTTTTCCATATATTCTTGAATTTTGTGTAGAACAAATACATGTTATTGGAATTTCTGTATGATTTTTTTCATTAAATTCTATTGCTTGCGATTTGAACATGATATTATCTCCTTCAACAACTGGAGCTGATAATACATTACATTGAAATGATACGAAAACTTCTTGTTCTAGTATATTGTTAACATCTATGTTAATTTGATGATGTTGTCACATTGAACTTTGATTTTAAAAAAAATTATATAGTTATTAAGTTTATTTTCGATTAAAAAAAAGTAAAACAATAAATAAAATTAAAATATTTTTACTTGAAGTTCTTGAGGACCATTATTTGGCTTTTTATTCCATACAAATTTTCCATTAATAAAGTAAACACAACCTGAATCCATTTGTTGTTCAAATGAAGCAAAACTGATAAATATAGCATTGTTATCTCCAGATCGATTGCATGCAATTATTCCATTTGTAATGGAATTAATATTTGAACTACTAACGGAAACTGTGTTCGCTTCGGTAACATATCCTATTGCAGAAAATACACAAGGCATTTTTTTTTCATTTTTTATCATTAATTCTTCATTTTTCTTTAATTGTTTATTTTCTTCTTTCCTCTAGGGCGATTTTTTTTCGGTTCGGTACGATCGGTCGCGACGTAGGTGTGTGTGATTTCTCTTTTGATTTTTTTTTATTTTTTCGTATTGTCTGTTTTTTTTTACCATTACTAATACTTTTTTCTAATTTGTTTTTATCTAGGTCGGCTTTTAGTCTATTCAGGATGTGTTCGTTCGGTGCTATCAGTATGTCGCAGCGTAGGTAGGTTTTTTTTTGCATTGATTTGGATTACTATATTTTTTTTTTTTTATCTAGAGAGGATTTTTAGCTTATATAGGGCGAATCTTTTAGTTTAGTTAAATTCGGTTCGATCGGTCCGTCACGGCGACGGTACGTGATTTTTTTTTTTTTTATTGTCTCGGATTACTAATTGTTTTGCTTTTTTAATTTAATCAAATTAAATTAGTGGTCAATCGTGCCTTATCTATATTAAAAAGATAGCGATAGGCTTATTTTTTTTGATTTAGTAAAAAAGGCGTTGATCAGCTACGCCTTATATTTTTATACAAACCGATTTTAAATTTTTTAAGACTAGACTAGAAAGATATAATAATTTTTTTTTTTTTTGATATATAAAGAACTTCTGTTCCATTAAAATCATTATAGTAAAACAATATACAGAAACGAAATACTATTAAATAATGTCGATCATTGATCATTCTTAAATGTAATTGTAGATTTTTTTACTGATGTTACACATGACGACCTAATTTCTTGCATTTTTAATAATACTATAAAAATTTAAACAACAAATAAAAATAAAATTTATATATCATAATAATATGAATCAAAGATCTTATTTTTGGTTGGAGGGTCCCGTAACCTGATTTTAATTGCTTAGCTCCCATATTTCCGCCCTTTTGATCGTTTTATATTTTCTGTTGAATGGCGGTTTTGAATTTTTTGATTTTAACTATATCTCAGGCCCCTAATTACCAAATAAAATTTTCAGATTGGTCAATATATTATTGTTTGAAGAAAAAAATCACATTCTCATTGAATCTACATATTTTATTCACTTTTTTGAACTTTGAAACTTGCTACTTTGTTATTTATAAATTAAAAACGTCTTACTAAAAATCATTAAGTGTTTCTATAAATGATTTTAATATTTTTTAGTATGGTAGATAAATTCTGTCAATAAATTCTATAAATAACAAATTAATGTTTAAACACTAATAATAATGATATATAACACATAAACTTAAAATAAAGATAAAACAAAGTACGGGAAGTGAGTACTTTTAGGTGAAGCATCACCAAGCATTTGCGCAGCCTAGAACTGAATCAAATGTTTTCTACAATGCCAACTACAATGGCGAATGGAATATTAGCTTTTGTAGTAAATTTAACCAACCCAGTATATATCGTTAAAAGCAATAAGTTGGTTTTCTGCATTTACAATAAAGTATTTTGAAAGACAGGATCGGAAGAAAATATTACGTTGTTAGTGTAGTGAACCTTTTAGCATGGGGGACATGTACCGAAAAAAGTAGTTCTTTATCATGAATTGAAATCTGAGCCTTTTTATAGTCTGTTTTAAATCACAATTTTAATACTTCAAACAATTGATTCTAAAATTACATTTTCAATTTATAATTTAAATAAACTCCAACGGAAATAATAACACCTATTGTGATTCATAATAATGTGGCACAGGTTGTAGATAATAAATATATTTTTTTTAAAACTTTAAGCGTTAAATTACACGTGCGTGCACATGTAAAATATCACGTGATGCTCTTGTTTACTGTCCCCATCTAGTTCCCATCCCTATGCTTTTTATGCTATTATAAGCTTATGCAGTCGAAATAGTTTAAATAGTAGCTTTTTTTCGAAAAAAAGATTTTTTTCCAAAAATTCTAAGTCTGGTTAGATATAGAATAAAAAAGATTAAAAAAAGACTATTTGATAATTCGTCGATCAGGCGATTGTTCCAAAAAAAAATTCTTGCGTCTTTTAGGTTCGGGTCGTATCATGCAGGGCAGGTATCGGGTGAGTTGTTGTTTTTTAGTTTCGGGTTCGATCGTTTCAAGCACAACGATCTAACAATTTCGATGGTTTTTTAAGTTCTTGCCCCCAAATTCCTCTTCGGATCAGATAGTTTGCGCGACATCAAATGAGTCGGTTTTTTTTTTTGGTATTTTTTTTTTTTTAGTCTCGGGTTTTATCATTTCAAACGATTTCGATTCCTTTCCGGGTCTTTTTTTCTTTAGGGTTCAATAAACGGTTTTTTTTCGATTCTTTCATTAAATTAATTTCTTCTGTAATACGCCGTTGGAGAGAGTCGACTCTAGAATTTTCAAAATGAGATTCTGAGATGTTCAAGTGATATTAAATTAAGTATTTAATATTTTTGTTTAAATAAAAAGTTTTTAATAATAAAATTATGGACGTTAATTTCAAATGACTCGGTCGACGATTAAGTAAACTATCAATGTTATCAAAAATAAACATTCGAACAATTGCAACTTTATTAAATAAATTTGTTTCTAAGCAAATTCTTTCGATTAATAAATTCACTAACAATCAAATTTCTCTTTTCTCAACACTAATATATCAATGATATGTAAAATTAAAATAAAATCTCATAAAATTATTAAGAGGAAGAAATCTGTATGGCCAATGTGCAGCCTAGAATAGTTTCAATTGGATATAAACTATAGGGTCTTACGGATTAGTTAGTTGTATTGCAGAACATCCGCTGTTGCAGTAAATGGGTATCATTAAATTCGATAGATGTGAGTACCACCAACTCTGTGTCATCGTGTCACCCTAGAAATGTATGAGTATTTCAATTTCAAGAGAGGCGCTTATCCTACTATGTATTTAACTCGATTATAATAGCAAACCTCCATACGTGATTTTAATTTTGGCATTTTGGCCTGAATTATGGCACTTAGCTGGTATTATGGAATTATCTTCGTCAAATGACTTGTGACTAGACTAGTGAATAGCTTAGTTGAACAACCATGTTTTTAATTAATAAACTAATAAATTCTTCGTATCATAATAATAATATGTATATATTTTTATTTGATTATAAAAATTAAATCAAAATTTAAATTCCGCTATAACTTTGCGCCACTAATTATGAAAGGCAAAACTTAATGAGAATGAAATGCATATCGCCTAAAAGGAATCAAATAAAAATGTCATGTAGAATAGATAAATATATTACTCAATAAAACATTATCATAAATTTAATTATTTTACTGTTTTAAAGAAATAATTCACTATTCCTATTATTTTCTTCAACTATTCGGTATTACTTATTCATTATTCTATTGTAATAAAGTATGAAATTTTTATAATCAAAAGTTGAAAACTTGGGCAATTTATTTTTTCAGTACATACATATAAATATATTTTATCGATAAAAAAAAAATTAGAGCTGGTTCTTGCATTTTTAATTCGAAACCTATTTCTTTGTCTCGTGTTTTAAATGAAGTTAGAATTCGAAAAAATATACTTTTTAGACATAGGACCACGAATTTGTACTAGTACGATCTGCATCATTACCCGAATTTTATATATATCTTTTTTAATAAATATTTTTTTTAAAAAATAATTTTATTCTTTTTCTTAGAAACATTTATGCCAAAATTCATTCTTTTGAATATTATTAGGTTTATTAACACCATCTGTAGAATGAATGCTAGTACATTGGTTTGGTTTTTCGCGAGATATTGTACTGTATTTCTTAAAATAAAGATCACCATTACTCTTACAAATATTAAAAAAGAGAATATATAATCAACTAATTTATCATTATATTCTAATATCATATTTAAAATATTCCTTATTTTGGATGTGAAACTTTTTATTATAACTTTGAAAATTTGGTCCTGTATAAATCTCATAATCTACGTCATTGTTAGAGGCCCATTAGCTCATCCATACCTAACCGATGTATTATATCCACATCTACATTTATATTTAAAAGGATGGTTAAAAAACGTATGAATGCCTTTATTTTCTTATTTTTTTTTAAAAATATATATGAAAACTTTTAAAAATTCTTACCCAAAGTAAATTTTAAATTCAACACCTAACGGATCAACTATAAGGATATCTTTGATAGTAAATTCTTAGATTTAATGATTCTTTCTTTTTATTTTGTCAAAGTATTGGATTTTAAATATTGACAAATTATTCATAAATTTTATTATTATTAAGAGTGAAATTGAATATCAAAGAAGGAAATATAAGTGTTGTTTGCTATTTAAATCGAGTCTCTATTGGTAAGTTACTTTTACTATAATTTAATATAATATAATAGTGTAAATTCATTTTTATTGATTATCATATTTAATTATACTTTTACTATAATTTAAACTTAATTAAACGTTTTATTTAAAATAATATCATTAATAGCTTGACGTTAAGGGCAATTGAAGTACTGTAGCTGGTGACGTAATTACGCCCTTTAACTATTTACCATCATAATAAAAGAAATTTTTTGGGATTAAAATCTTTCTTTTTACCCTTGAATTATACTAACGATTGAGATGAATTGAATGTCATGATCGTCAAAGCTACTATTAAGTAGTTAAATACATTATTATAAGGAACTATAATCAATACTTTCTCATTCATTTAACTATTTTTCCAATTAATTGATTCATGTTTAATCATATTTAAGGTTGCCGGGCAAAACCCGGAGTTTCGACAGACATCGAAATCGAAACTCGTCGAATCGTTTTGCCAAATATTTCTGATATTAAAATACAATATTTGAATTTAAAAATTACTATTTTTGTTTAACGAGATGAGCAAATCATATATAGCAAAGATCACTTTCTTTTATAATATCATATATTTATATATTTATAAAGGACAACAAAAAATTTACATATTGATAATATAAAATCCAATTACATCATTTATCTCCCATATTTCTTCATTTAAACTCATGACAGTATTCTTATTTTCTTCTTCATCTTTTAAACTTTCATTTGAAAAATCATCATCTAAAGGTTGGAACCGGATTCGATATTCGGATTTAAATCCGGATCCGATTTTAAAATTAAATAAATTCGGATAGAAAAATAAATCCGGTTCCAACCTCTATCATCATCTTCTTCATAAGATAATTTTTTCTAATTCTTCAACAAGTACCAGTGCTTCCCTGCTCGATAAATAATGTATTACTTTGGAAACGTTGTTCTAATTCAAAATAAAAAGCAAAAAAAAAAATCGTTTTTATACCCACCCCTACAATAAATCATCGGAAATTGATTATATAATATGCCGATCAAAAAAAATTGGGTATCGTTAAAAAAATATTTTTATTTATTTGTACTATAAAAAAAAAAAATAAAATAAAATAAAATAATATTCAATTTATTAATTTATTATTTAATTTAAATTCAAAATTTAAATGCTAGTATTTAATGTGTCCACCTTTAACTTTACTAATATCTTTAATACGTTTAGGTATACTTAAAATTAAACGATAACGATGTAATAATTCTATATTTAAATTTGACCATTCTTCTTGCGCAACTCTAATTAATTCTTGCTTGGATTTAGGCAAAGGTTTTCTTTTTCGTATTTGACGATTTAAATAATCCCACAAGCATTCAATAGGGTTTAGATCTGTACTTTGCGTCACCCAATCTAATACTGAAATTCCATGAGTTTCCATCCACCAAACTGTATATGAAGATGTATGGCATGGAGCCCGGTCTTGTTGAAATGTCATATTTGGATTATTACGAATTCATGGTATTAAATGATTTGCAAGAACATTGACATATATGTCAGAGTTCATATTTTCGTCGATAACTACTAATGGTCCAACTCCATACC